GGAGTAAAGGAGAATGAAGAACACCAAAGACACAAGGAAAGTATTAGCCCAAGAGACAGAAAGGGCCACATAAACCAGAGACTTCATCAGCTTGAGGCCAGAAGAACTAGATAGTGCCCGGCTACTACCAATGACCGCCCTGACAGGGAACACAATAGAGAGCCCTGGATAGAGCAGGAGAAAGGTGGGACACAGAACTCAAATTCTAGTAAGAAGACCAGACTTAATGGTCTGAGACTGGAGAAACCCTGGAAAGCATGGTCCCTGGATTCTTTTCAGCCCAGAACTAAAACAATATCCGAGGCCAACTCTTCAGAGAGGGAATTGGACTGAACTGTGGGACATAAAGTGATACTCATGAAGAGTGTGCCTCTTAGCTCAAGTAGATACAAGAGTCTAAACAGGCAGCTTCTGTCCGGAGGTGAGACAGGAAGGCAGAGAGGGTTAGGACCTGGTTGAATGGACATGGGGAATCAGGTGGAAAGGAGGAGTGTGCTGTCACAGTATGGGGAGAGCAATTAGGGTCACATAACAATGTATGTATAAATTTTTATAGGGAAAAAAAAAAGGGCTTCCCTTGAGCATGGTCTCCAAAAGTGAGGCCATTTCTTCATTTCTTTTTTAAGTATTATATTGCCTTAATGGTGATTGAAATTAAGATGGAAGGGCCTCAGAGAACACAGTGTGGAACAAGACTACTGTACTCACTTCTCAAAGGTCAGGCCCAACTCCTCACCCAGACCTGCCCTTCAAGCCACCACCATGGAGCCCGTCCACACAGCTGATTGTGGGTCAGCTTTCTCAACAGGAAATAGGGACGCGGGCTACAAGCCCTATGCTTAAGAAAGGAAGGAGCACTCAGATAACAAACATTTATTGGTACCTACTATGGCCAGGCCTGATCTAGGTGTTGGAGATGAGTAAGGCCCAGATCATCTTCATGGAGCTTCAAGGAGTTGTGAGGAAGAAAAACTCCTAAGGAGACATTTATGGTACCATGTGGTACATGCAGTATACAGGGAATCATAGAAGTGCTGAGGAGGTGTTCAGTCCACCAGGTGGCTCAGAGGTGGCCGCATAAGCTTCAGCTGAGTCCCAGACAGTGGCTATGGAGAGGAGACAACATGAGAAAAGGCAGGGAGGCGAAAGCCTGCCTAGAACACCTGAGTAGTGGTAGGGCAGGTAAAAATAGTCAAACATAGGGATTCGGTCTGGAGGGTGAAGGTTGAGTCGAGAAGGTCTCCTGGGTCTAGCATGGATGACACCAGCTGAGCTAGAATATGAGGTAGAAGGAAAGGAGAAGGTTGGGGAGAGCAGATAATGAGGTCGGGTGTGGACAGGTTGCATTGACAGTACCTGTGGGGCAGGCGGGTAAAGATGGCCCCTCACCTGGAGGCTGGGCTTCAGGATCCCCACTGTGGGGCTACCTGGGGCCTGGCAAGGTGATGGAAGACAGGCTTTTCTGGCCAGCCCACTGAGTCTCCGTTTCCTTAGCCCCACAATTTTTCTGGCCAGATGTTTGTGATGGTCAGTTGCCTCCAGTAGGCAGATCCCTGTGCCTTTTCAAGAAAGCCAGGGAGATCTTGGGGAAAGTATCTGTCATAGTCTAGAAAGGGCTACCAGTTCTTATGTTAATAGAAATAAATAAAAACAAACTCGTCTGTAGTTCTATCCATGGTCTCCTTGCTTAGCATCAGATACAAAGAAATCATTGCGATTCATCAACAGATGGGTGTATCTGGGCATTTATTTTTCATAAACACTTTGATCTTGAAACCACTGTCCTCTGATTGTGGCAGTGAGAAGTTTAGTTGAGTTGCATGGTTTTTCTGAAGCCAAGTCATGTGACAGTCAATATCCTTCTCATCAGTAAAACAGACACCAAAATCCAGCATCAGCCGCACACTTACTGTGGTGTCTAACAGTATATGATGTGAGGCTGCTGCTGTCATCACCCTGCGATCTGTCTGAGATCTGGAGGATAAGAGTGTTGAGCAGAATCAAACGCCTTTGATAGGATTTCAGGCTGGGCGTCTCTGTGTGCCAGCGTGCCCTGTGATTGCCCGTCAACTGTCTGCAGCAGCTGTGGGTCTGATCCATTCTCTGTGCACGTGTTCACCCATCAGAGCCCATTGTTTTGCTTGGATTGCACCACCATGTTTATCGTATCATCATGAAAATTCATGTTTGTCTCAAGCCTGTTTTCTGTTTTATAATCATAATATTTATAACATAATATTTGTTACTACACTAGATAGAAGGTTTCTGCAAAATTGTGTTTTCATGGAGGGTTGTTAGACATTCCAAGAGTTCAGGAGACTAGACTTGGAGAACGCTGTAGTCATTTTACTCAGAAATGAATTAATCCCTAATATGATCCATATAAAACTATTCCTCTGTGTTAGGTAGCTGTTGAAATGTGATTTTGTTTTTATAACCCACACATACACTGTTTACCACTGACATGCTGGCTGCTAGCTCAGTTAACTTCGTAACTAGAGTATGCACTGGTAAAGGGTGCCTTTTCTAACCTACTGACACATTTTCTTTGCCCAGGGATTTTGCTTATGTAGCAAGAGACAAAGATACAAGAATTTTGAAATGTCATGTATTTCGATGTGACACACCAGCAAAAGCCATCGCCACAAGTCTCCACGAAATCTGTTCCAAGGTAAGGTGGGTGAGGGCACAGAGGTCCACCTGTCTTTTTTCTCACTGCTAAAGCAGGTAAAGGGATATGAAAGGGCAGGAAGTGGGTACACTGACCTGAACATCGAGCTCGGGGAGAAGCAGGCAGGCTGATGGTTCAGCCAGCGTCATTAATGCACTCTTGCTGCGTGTCAGGCAGGCATTGCTCTAAAGGGCAGTCCCTCTACAGAATGTCCCTCACACAGTCAGGGGGTGTAAGAGGAAGGCAGAACAATAGCAAATACCAGGGCAGAGGTGTGTACACCAAGCCCAGCTGGAAAACGGGGGAAGGAGTCAAGGCCAACTTCCCCGAGGAAGGCCACGTGAGCTGAAAGTAAAAGCAGGTAGAAAGGGGGACAGGAAAAAGAGGGGAGGCTGTAAGAAACTGCACAGGTGTCTGCAGGAATGCAGACAGCTGGGTTTCACCCTGCACACCTACTGAACTTTATGAGGTCACACGTCAGCTTGAGGAAACTCTGACCAGCTGTGAGGTGAGGCTTGAGGCTGTAGTCACTGTCTCATGCTGGTAAGGGTCCCACTTCCCTCATCCGAGTCACAGAGCCTCAGAATGAGAACAGACAGTCGGGCTTCACCAGTCCAACCTTAACCCGTCCCCGCAGCGTTCCCAATACAGACATCTCCATCCTTGCTGCCACTGCTGAGGCCTCTTACTGTTCAAGAGACTGTTCTATTGTTGAGCAGCTCTGGCTGTTAGAGTTCTTCCTCCCCAAAATCTGCACGTATTTATTTGAGATCAGCCATCTGCTGTAGCAACAGGGGAGGATCCCTCCGGTTTGTCTCTTTCCTGGACAGCCCTCCAGACATCTGAGGCCGCGTGCCGTGCCTGGCATGTTGTAAAGGTGCTCGATAAATATCGGATGTCAAGTCTTCCTACTCCGATTTCCTCCATTCTCCAGTCTCTGCAGCCACTTTTTGTGTCACGTGGTTCCCATGCTGCTCCTGACCACCCTCTTGTGGGCACACCACGGTTGTTCCTGCCAGATGGACACAATATTCCCAAAGTGAGTCAGCCAAGGCCAAGACTAGACCATGGCTGCTCTCTCCCTGGACCTTCAAGAGTACAGTGTTGGGATTTTTGAGGTTTTCGGCAACCGTGTCACCTACTGGTGTGTGTTCAGATGGTGGTCAAGCAACCCTCCAGGACACTGTCATCCCAACTTCCTTCAGCAGGCCTTTCCTCTCCCTATACTTGCTTAATTTACCAAAGATAAACACAGGACCTTACCATCATCTTGTTGAATGTCACCTTTCTGGTTTCAGGCTGATGTCTGACCCCAGCCTCATTCTCACAAATCCTCCTGTTATCTGAGCAGCAGGAGCAGCAGGTGGAAGCCACAGAGCCCACAGGAGGGGTAGAGGCAGAGAGCTGTCCCCAGCCCCAAAATGGAATAGCTCAACAGTTTGTTGCTCTGAACGACGTCACAGGGGTGTGCAGGATGGGTGCTGGTCTAGAGATCACCACGTGTATTCCAGCGGTGATGGGTCTGGGACCTGGCTGCACCTTTTGCTACCATTTGCAGTGTTGAGCGAACTCACCAGGTTTCATTTTTCGTTTACTCACACAACAAATATAATTGAGTGCCATTTGCGTGCCAAGCACTATTCTAAGCACTGAGGATACAGCAGAGGCCAAAACAGTAAAGAACCCTTGCCCTTATAAAGCTTGTGTTTGTCTGAGGAATAATCATTTACATATTATTCCTGGAGAAGATGACCACAATATTTTAATAAAATCGGTAGCCCAGAGATACGGAGGATGGGAGATCAGGCAGTAGACTAAAGCTTATTTAAATTGGAAGTGAAATCAGCTCAGACATTGGAGCTGGAGTAGCTGAAGACACGGCTCCTATAACATGAACCAAAGCTGTGCGTTGTCTTCGTCTTTAGATTATGGCCGAACGGAAGAATGCCAAAGCCTTGGCCTGCAATTCCTTACAGGAAAGAACCAATGTGAATCTTGACGTTCCTTTGCAAGGTAGGGTGGCGGCAGCTTCTCTCTTTATTGTGCCACTATCAGTCCTAGTCCAGAATGGAAGTGTCTCGAGGTTCCTTGGTGTTACCCTTCTCCCTAAGAAGCATGTCCAATTCAGCAAGCCCGTGTCGAGCAGCCACTCTGGGTCCTACAGTGGCATAGGATTTTGTGTCAGTAGGATGAGGCACGAAGCCCCAGGGTGATTTTTTGCTGTTGTTGGACATGATGAAAGAATATTGTCTTTAGGGTTTTATCACTCATGGGCAGCCCCAGTGAAGGGATGGCTTTTGGGGGCTTTCTCTAGTTGTTTTCCCCATTTCTCTAACTGTGCTTTGTGATTAAATTTTCTCCACACATCAACCACACCTAATAAATAGAACATCAAAAGCTGTTACTTAGCACACATCAAAGAGACAGTAATGGCTTTAACACATAGATTCTAGCTTCTGCTTTCAAATGCTTTCCTCCCTAGAAATGAAAGTTGAATGACTGTTTGACAGCAGCCCCGGATGCCTGGAGTAAGACATGCTATTCTTATAGAACAATTGCCACATTCACCTCCAGACAAATGGGACATTGTGACACAGGTGGTGTCCTGGGCATTTCAGGTGGCACAGTGATGGCTGTTTTTCACATGTGCATTGGAACCACTAAGAAAGATGTATTGCTTTTGTTCCCTGTAGTAGATTTCCCAACACCAAAGATGGAGCTGGTCCAGAAGTTCCACGTGCAGTACTTGGGCATGCTACCTGTAGATAAACCAGTTGGTATGTAAAGCAGTTATTGTCTTTCCACTTTGCAAGCGTTTGGGAGCTCATGGGAGGTGTTCGCCCTACCGAGAGGGTGGGGTCTCGTGCTTTACTCCCTTGCTTCGTCTTGAATCAGGCCCTTGCACTGTCACAGCAAGAACACGTAAACAATCCTGATCAAAAGAGTAATAGAGGACATGCTAAGCTCCTTGGTGTGCGATGCCCAGAATACAAAAAAAAAAAAACAGTTGCTGCCGAATCAATTCCAACTCATGGCGATCCCATGTGTGTCAGAGTAGACCTGTGCTCCATTGGGTTTTCAGTGGCTGATTTTTCAAATCATCAGACCTTTCTTCTGAGCTGCCTCTGGGTGGACTCAAACCTCCCACCTTTTGGTTAGCAGCCGAGTGCTGAACTGTTTGCTCCACTGAGAATACAGGGACTTAAACAAGATAGACATGAATTTCTCGTTGGGTCACCTAACAATCCAGAGATTCACAATCCGGGGCTCCATTCTCAACTTGGGACTTCCATCTCTGGGGCCAGGCCACCTGCTTCAGCTCCAGTCAGCTGGTAGACCAGGAGAAAGGACTGAGGGAGCCCTCCTGCTTTCCTTGTAAGGGGTGTAACCCAGAAGAATCACACACAACAATCAGCTCACATCCCAGTGACAGAACTTTGTTGCTTGGCCATTCCAAGCTGCGAGGGAAGCTGGGAAATGTAGCCTTTAGCTGGGATAGAAAAGGCTGTGGGAAAGCCCATTAAGAAAGGCCCTGTTGAACAGCACATATTATTCATGTAAAAGTGTCATCCAAATTTGGTCTTACTTAAATAACAAAGTAAGAAAAGGAAGACCTGGGTGTCTCGGCAGATGCTGGCTTCTATTAGGTCTTCTGTCCCAAGACTCCCGGCTTAGAAAAAGGTAGCAGATGCTTGAGCACTGGTATAAATACTTGAGGATGGTGTTTATACACCAGGGGGTGTTTGGAGAGAGACGAATAAGATGGTCTAATTAGAAACGACATCACACGCTTTGCATCTCTGGAGGCATTCATGACCCTTCTCCCTGACATTTCTTTGCTTTTGAACAAACATGAAAAAGGAAGCTTTAGGCTCATATCAGAAAAGCCTATTGAGGAACAACTTGATCTGGAGTATCTCCTGGGGCTAGAAAAAAAGCCTTGGTGTTAACTGTTACTAGGTAATTTGGGCCCACATTTGATAATGATAAATAGCTATAGGACTTTTTTGAACTATCTTTTCCATCCACAGGAATGGATACCCTGAACGGTGCCATAGAAAGTCTTATGACCTCATCCAACAAGGAGGATTGGCCGTCGGTGAACATGAATGTGGCCGATGCTACTGTGACTGTCATCAGTGAAAAAGTAAGAAGGAATTGTAGATGCCATCGGCCCCTCTGGGATACAGTGATGGTTTAGATACAGTAATCTTCCATGAATTTAGAAACATAGCCAAGCCTTACCCTCTAGGGAGTTGTGCTTACTTGGGATTACAGTGGCCTACGTTGTTTTAAAACATTGATTTCCCCTTTGTATGTGTCTGGATCTGTGCACACCTTGTCTTTGCTCTGGACTCAGAAACATCTATTCTGATTCCCCTGATTCTTTCTTCTTTATATGCCCAAGAGATTGAAATCCTTTGCTAGAGGTGGCTGTGACACTAGCCCACTAATGGGTTTTGGTTTTCTGGCTAATGAATCTCAGGGCTCCAGAACTGACTGGGCTGTTTTGTCTGTGGTTGGGCTGCAGGAGATACTCCTATTATGGAAGGTTCTGCGGTTTGTTCTGTCCTTGAAAGAGACTAGCATTAGCCTCAACCCAAATTATCCCAATTTTGTGCTTAAGGAAACTGAGGCACAAAGAGGTTAAGTAGCTTGTCCAAGATCACGCAGCTAGAAAGTAGCAGGGCCAGGATTCAAATCCAGGCAGTGTGGCACTTTTCTCTTCTGCCTCTTTGAACTCATGGCAAGACCACAAGTTCTTGAACTGCTCTTCACCTTCAGGCCCAGTTCACCTCTTAAAGAGTAGGATGCTCACTGGCCCTGGCTGCCCCTCCTGCCTGACATGCTGGAGTGTCTTCAATCCTTCTAGCAGGCCACGCCCTGGCCTACTTCAGCAGGGTCTTTGCACTCGCTCTTCCTTCTGTAGTCCACTGCTTTGCCTACCCAGCCTTTCCCCCAGAGCTCCACTTAAACGTCATTTCTTCCAAGAAACCTTCCTGACCCCTCACACTAGGTGAGGCTGCCTGGAGCATTCCTATAGCATTAGTCAACACAGGGTTATCTTCCCCAGTCTCTGTGTAAGCTCCTTGAGGGCAAGCTCCTTATCAGATTGGCTCCCTGCTCCATTATTGGTATTGCACAGGGCCTGGCCTGGAGTGGGTGCCCAAAGACTTGAATGAATGTTGACTAAGACAAGATGTGAATGATCCAAAAGTGGACATTTTGGTTGTGCTTACTAATTCCAGCATTGCATACAGACATTACAAAGGATGTGGTGTCATAACTGTGAGAATGAATCCCAAGCATTTCTTTAGACTGCCTCATATGAGACAGTCTAAAAAGAAAAAAAAAAATAGAATTCGGCAACTTTTTGTTGCTTTGGTGACTTTTTGTTTGACATGATTTTAGAAAGGTGGTTCAATGTGCTCTTTAGCTTGGGTAAGAACTGGATGAAAAGTGATACTGTGGATCCTTTTCTCTTATGCTCTGGGGTTTCCAGTGGGTTCATCTGGGCAATTGGGTTTTGAGCCATGGGGTGCCCTGTGTAAGACGGTACGTAAGAAGTATAAATGGTGTCATTCCTACCCACAGTGAATTCACAGGCTTGGTGTAGTGGTAAGACAACCAAGCACACATTATACACCATGATGGCAGTGGAGTTTAGAGCAAGTTGAAATGCCAGCATGAGATACCCACAGCAGTGAGGGCCACTCCAGACACATCTAAAAAGTTGCCTTTCTAGAAAAGCACAAGTCCTTTCTGAACTCAGTCTAGCTGCATTTTTTTAATACCAGTTCCTATGTGCTGCCACTCTCCGCTTGATTCTAGGATTTGTTTAAGATCTAAAGATGTTTGTGACTATTATCTGGTTCACAGAGAAGAACAGGACCCTAAGCAATCTCTCTTACAGAATGAAGAGGAAATCCTAGTGGAGTGTCGTGTGCGATTCCTGTCCTTCATGGGCGTCGGGAAGGATGTCCACACATTTGCCTTCATCATGGACACTGGGAACCAGCGCTTTGAGTGCCACGTGTTCTGGTGTGAACCGAATGCGGGTAGCGTGTCCGAGGCAGTCCAGGCTGCCTGCATGGTGAGTAATCCCGGTCCAGCAAGGTGTTGAGCCCTCAAGTCCTTGCTTTTGTTTTATCTGACACAAATTCAAGCAGAATGACCATTTTAAAAGAAAAAAAATCAAATTTCTAAACTAATGCTTTACTTTATAACGCCCTCATTCCCAGGGACAGGGTAAATTATGATTTAAGCCGTTTGTCGTCTCAAAAGGCCAGGACACCTGGAAGAAGCCAGGCTGGCTGAAGCTAGATTCTGTAGAGACTCAGTCGCATTAGAGAGTGTCTTGAAAAAATATTTGTTGAGCACCTAACATTTATTAGACGCTGAAACTGTAGAGATAAAAATTTTCTTTGGGAAAAAAAAAAAGTATGTCTTGGTTAGGTAGTGCTGCTCTAACACAAATACCACAAGTGAGTGTCTTTAAAGAACAGAGATTTATTTTCTCACAGTTCCAGAGGCTAAAAGTCCAAATCAGAGTTTTAGCCGTGTAGATTCCTTCCTTGTTAGAAGCCCTGGGAGTTCTTTGTTTCCTTGGTTCCTAGAGGATCCTCACATGGCACCTGTCTTCTCTAGTTTGTGAGCCAGTCTGTATCTAATCTGATTTTTTTATAATCACTCAGGAGTGATTAGGTTTAAGACACACACTACACTGGTATGGCCTCATTAATATAACAAAGAAAATCCTATTTCCAAACAGGATTACATCCAAAGGAATAGGAGTTAGGATTCCAGCACATATTGGGGGAGGGAGGAGAAGGAACAATTCGATCCAAAACAAAGAAAATGATCTTCAGAACCACAAATTTGAGGATTATCAGTTCTTGACCTCTAATTTGTTTCATATGTAATCAGAAAATGTTCATCATGCATGAGTTGGTGCTGTTTGGAATCAACTCAGTTCTTTAAAAAAATGCAACGTATTGAATAATTCCGGTAAAAGATTAAATGATAATCTCATGTCTTTTTCAAAAGCCACAGAATGATCAGCGAAATACATTGCAAACCCAGATTTCATACCAATACCTTTTATTCCACTCTTTCCACCCACTTTACCACACCCTTCCTATTCAACCTAAATTGTTTACCAGAGGTGATTAACAAGGAATAAAATTAAAATGTTTTATTTCTCATTGTTTACAATTTTAAAATAACATTTAAAGCAGGTTTTGCTAACAACCAATGAAATAGCTTAGAATTGAGCTGAAAGAGCAAGAAGCCCAAGAGGCCTGAATTGGCCACTGAATTATAAGAGTTGAGCTATGTATATGCCTTAGTTCCAAATCCAATTGATTTACTTTTATTCCTTTTTATTCCTTGTCATCTCCAATTCTTCTCTTTCCATTTTCTCTTGAACATACTCCAGACTAGCTTTTGTCCCCATCACTCCATTAAATATGCTCTGGTCAAGGCCATCAGTCACCTCCACATTCCACCGTCAATGCACATTTTTTAAGCTGAGGGGAATGAGCCAGTAAAGCTGGATTGAAGTGGGAGCCCTATGTGTCATTGAGGCATACAGAAAATGGTGGTGGGTTAAGAGCCTAGAGGAGGGGCCTAGCCTCCGACTATATTAGAGAGATCTTTCCTTTGAGACAGGCCGGAAGGTGCTAAGAATCCAAGATTAGGGAGAGGCTTATGGAAGGGCAGTTGAGGGAGTTGTCTGCTTTTTACATAGGGTACATGGCTAGGTTAAGAAGAGGGAAAGGGTTGAGATGGGAAGGCAAAATGGCAAAGGTGGGGAACAGGAAAAGATGGCCAATTTTATCTTAAAGGACACCTTTGAAATGGAGAGGGAGGGAGAAGGGAAGGAACATTTATTAACTTCAAAAAGCTTGGTGTTGTGCATTCATTATCTTGTTTCATTCTTAACCACTGTCCTTTGTTAGTGTTAGTATAATTTCCCCTCAATTAGTGAGTATACCATGAAGCCAGGATTAACTCAAATATGCCTGAATATAAAGGAGCAGGGCTGGGTGGAGGGAGCAACGGCAGTAGCAGAGTCAAGATGAATCTACTAACAGGCATGAGAAACTGAGACGGAAAGGATTATGAGAACAAAATAGAAAGGGGGAGATTTCAATCAAGCAGAAATGGATGCTGCTGATTATTTAGATATTTTATGAAATTCAGATGGATCCTAACAGATGGTTTTAGTCATAAAATGGTTTTCAGCCTTAATTATTCCTTTTAAATGCTGATGATAGTTAAATAATTAGCTTTATCACTGGTTTTTTAGTGTGTTTCTGATTCCCAGACTCATTTTCTCTCTTAGAAACCATTTTTATTCATTTGCTTCCTATCTTCATTATATTAGTGCAGCCAGTGGAAGCTCAGCCAGTGCAGTATAAGGCAGACAGACAACATCAGACCCTTTTCACCACTTTGAATCCGGCATTTCTAACACAGTGGCTTTCCTCTTGATTCAGATCTGCTTGGTTCTCTAAATCTATACCACCTGAACTATCTATGGTATTAACACATTCTTCTTAGTCTACTTAATTTTTAGGCGTATCTTGCAACTGTGTGGTATAGGCCTAGCTGAAGATATTTTGGTGAAACTTGACTAGGCCAGGGAGGGATCCTTAATGAAACCCATCCATCAGGTACATTTTTGATTCACAATGGACATACAGAACTAATGTTTGAAATTCCAAGTCCAGTGTCCAGGTTGCCACACATGCCCATTTATAAACCCATGCTTTAGATGTGTGTGTTCTTGTTTGTGATGCAGGCCTAGCAAGATGCTGTACACAGAGGAGACATAAGAAATCTTTTTCCATATGATTGAGTTGAAAGGGGCCAGTTTTGTGGCCTGCAGAGTATGATAGAACATTGTGACACAGCTGAACATCTTTCTCCCTTAGTCTAGCTATAGACATTTTATGCTTCTTAGGGAGAAACATCAGCATGTTTTAAGCAGCACTAAGGGATGTATTAATATTTAAGTTGATTTTTAAAAATCAGCCATGGAGTTATCTTAAAGGCTTGGATTAGAAAAAAATTTGATAAGTAATTTTTTTAAAATTAAAAGGTTAAAATTTATCTTCAAGAAAAAGCAGATTGTATTGTTTTATTTCTGAAGGAAAGAAATGTTCTGTGGGGCTAATGCTAATGGATTTTTTTTTTTTTCATGAATCCATTAGGATTTAGACTTGTATACAAAATGTATCCTGAAACGTTAAGTCATCATTCTTTTCTATTATAAATGCCTCTGCATGCTAGTCCTGTTTCAGGCATTCTACAACCATTTGTTATTTAATCATAACACCCTCCGTAAAGGCCGCCATTCCTCCTAGACCACTTTACAGTTGAAGAAACTGAAGCTCTGAGAGGTTTAGTAAGTTGCTTGGGGTCATAGGTTCACAAGGGGTAGCTCCTAGATTCAAAGTAGGCCCTTTCTACCGTGCTCTCAGTTAGCCACGACCACTTGTTTAGACCTATGTGCCTGATGAAAAATTTAATTAACACCATCTCTCCCCACCCTTTTTGTTTTCATTGGCTCTTTGATTATGAGGCATATTAATTGCAGCCTATCAATATAGAGACCAAGCAGAGGTTGGAGATGGATGGAAGACAAGGATGTCAAAGGCCAAAACACCTTGTTGAGCCTAATGATCTTTTATAAGAATTTAAAACACCTACATTAAAAAAAATAAACTCCTGGATTTACGTTTAGGATCTAGGTCTTTAACTTTTAGGAATAAATGTATTTGTGATTAATTAAAGTCATTAAATAAGAAGAGATGTTATGTAATTAACTACTATAGACCATTTTTTGTTTTATTTCAGTTACGATACCAGAAGTGCTTGGTAGCCAGGCCGCCTTCACAGAAAGTTCGACCACCTCCTCCGCCAGCAGACTCAATGACCAGAAGAGTCACAACCAATGTAAAACGAGGGGTCTTATCCCTCATTGACACTTTGAAACAGAAACGCCCTGTCACAGAAATGCCATAGCTGCATATGTTAAAGGATTCTGTAATATTTACCTGAAGATTGAATAGCTACACTAAAGAAAACAAACTGACGTCTGGCCTTCCATTCAGTTGCTGATGCTTTGTCTTCAGAGAATTTATCCTTAACGAAACAGTGTTAGACAAGCATGTTCTCTCGTCTTGCCACCATCATGTGATATGAAAAGAAGCATGAATAATTTTTTTTGCTATCAGTAAGTTACATCACGAGCAGTGGAAGGTCTTTTTCTTATTGTAAATATTGTGAACATCACTTAACATCACACACACACACACCCAAGGACGTGGCCACTGCCCTCCTAGTGAACTAATGCTGAGTCCTTGGAGTGAATGATGCCGGAGTTAGTTTCACTGTCTTTTTGAGCTGCACCTGGCACAAGCAACTTTGACATCCTACAGCACTCTGCCCTGTTTTCAACTTTGGAGTAGCCACTGCATACGAGATACCAGTGAATTGCTTTAAAATTAGGATGATGAGGTTTTGTTTTAGTTTTTCATAAAATTGAACCTGTTGGTGGACAAAATTGGCTGTTGGCATCCATGTAGAAACCAACTGGCAGCTTTCCTCAACAAGCTCTTTGACACATGAACACCATTTCATGTCTACAGCTGCTTGTAGGATGTTGGAAAAAAAGTGAAACTTCAAAATTGTGAAAAACATGCTAAATTTGAGGAGTTAAAATCAAAGAAAATAGCCTTTCTAATCAGATGGCTTTCAAACTGATTATTAAAAAAAAAAAAAAGAAATTAACAAAAGCATAATGCGTTTCAGGTGGGATATATTTCAACTTCTGCCTTATATTGTACAATGCAGCTAGAGAATTATAGTTCACTATGGCCATTTTCTACATAAACAGCAGTAAACTGAAATACTCCTCGTAAACCTTTCATTCTTAGTTTGATGATTAGCCAATTTGCAGTTTGGAGTTGAGGAAACGTCATTTATACTTAGGTTGTACACAGTTATTTTAGAGATCCACCACTACATTATTTTTGTTAGACCACCTCCTGTTCTGCTAGCATTCTGCACTAGCCCAATCTTAATACAATGCATTTTGCCCAGAAAGCTGTATGTCCATCATGTATAGTCCATGGCAACAAACTTCATTAAGGTGAACCTTTCTTGAATTTATATATTTAATATTAGAATTTGTTGGACTCTATTAGATATATTTTTAAATTTGTATGCTTTCCATTTTATTTTCAGGTTTTTAAAATTTCATATCATAGCAAAATATGCATAGGAACAATGGACTATTTAGTAAGTTTCCCCAAAGTAGCGCTTTCTTGCTTCTTTCTTTGTAGATATGAAACTTAGCTATAAAGATAAATTCAGACTCCTGTTGACATTGTTATTTTAAAAGAAAGTTGCTAAGGAGATCAACTTAAATATTAGTTGTCTCTTTCACTTTTTAATGTCACAATTAGTGTTTTGAAACATCCAGTTATAAAAGTAATGCTTTACATTTAGACACTGCTATGTACTTCTCAAAAATGATTTCCACATTCTTATCACATTTGAGCCTTATAAGGTAGAGAAGGGACTAAATACATTTGAGAAATGAAACTAATGAAGTACCATGAGGCTAAATCATTTGGCCCAAGAGCTTGCTAAAGTTAGAACCAGGACCAGGACCCAAGCTTCCCAACTCCCAGTTCTGAGTGTGATATGCTTCTTCCACATCAGTCCAGAAGAGCCTTTCCAAAATGACTCTGGGTAGGTACAAAGAGTAGGTATGGAAATATTCATTGTCAGGCAGTCTTAGAATTCCCCATGTTAAGTGGGGAAATATGTCCAAATTATTCATGCAGTGGTATTATAAAAACCATTGCCCTCTCTCAGTCCAGAACATTTTTCCTACAGTGTGTTTTAAAGGACAGTATTCTGTATTCAGTACAGCCTGCTCAACCTATGAGATTTTCCAGAGATAATGTTACTTGTGATAGAGATATTCTTAATTCATGGTACCTGCCTGCCAGAGAACATGATGGAATGAAAAGGCGTGCTCCTCCCTGCTGTCCCCGCTCACAATTCATTTTCTCGGGGGTGGGTAGTTAACCAGTTGTCATCAAGTCAATTCCAACTCATGGCGACCCCATGGGTATCAGAGTAGAACTGTGTTCCCTAGGGTTTTCAATGGCTGATTTTTCAGAAGTAGATCACCAGTCCTTTCTTCCAAGGCACCTATGAATGAACCTGGACCTCCAACCTTTTCGTTAGCAGCCAAACATGTTAACCATTTACACCACCCAGGAATTGTTTGCCCCTAGTGTTATGACAAAAACGATGCTACTTCAGAAATGCATTATATTTCTCAACAACTGAGACACCATTCTATCTGAAATAACCAGTGCCATCCTAGAAAATTTTTACATTAAGAAAATCCTGACTGTGCCCTTTGAAAAGCTGTTCAAAATTCAGTCATGATGATCTTTAATCTTGATTTCCACAGTGAAAAGTTTTAATGTGATAACTTTCAAAGTTCTGAACAAATAATCCACTTTTATACTGGAAATTTCTACCCCCTGTTCATTTTTTAAGGCATACATTTGTTTGTTTTCAGGATCAAGAATACTGAGCTAGCTTTAAGTAGCACACTGATTTATATATGCAATTATAGGATGCATTAAGATGAATGATAGCCTTTACATATTGAAAATTTTACTGCAGATATTTTGTTTTGAAAATAGCTTTGCATACTAAATGCAAATTTATTTTGTAAAGTTATGTTAAACAGTATGTTCAGACACTTTCTGCCATGGCCAAAAAGTATGTATGAAAGTATGTGTGTATTTGTTTGTGAAAGGATGCCAATGTTTTACCCAATATTGTAGTGACACTTCAGTTATCTATGCATTCTTTGTATCTGATTTCGGTAAACAGGCAGCCATGTTCACTATGCCTTGTATGTCGTATCATTTTTTTTAATTAACCTGATAAATACAGCTTAAAATATTTTTATTTTATTTATTCTATTTTTACGGAAATATACTGCATTATTGTGTTAATGTATTATCTTTACTGGATATTATCTTGCAATGTATCCAGGTCTAAGTAATCTCAGTGAACTATACATTGCCTAAAAGGTGGTTTTCTAATGATCTATAATCACATTTTTATTGGAATATGTAGAAGAAAAGGCAAAATGTTTAAAGTTCCTTTTATTTTTTAAAAGCGGCTAGATAGACGCAGACTTGCCACCTCATTTATGAGCTCCTTGACAACGTCAAGGGGACTAGCCAACAAGCCTATGGCTAAAAACTTTACTTTGCAAACTAAAGCACTGCTTGGTGCTTCATTTTTATATCCTTCACAACAAGTGTGACTTCATCTAACAGATATACATGTCCACATGACCTTGGTTTCCACCTGGATGTAAGATCACCCATAGCTAATTAGGAACATTATTTTTTGTTTATCTGTCTTAATGCATGAAGGGACATTAGACCCATTTCCATTAAAACAAGTTCTTGGTGATGAACTGTTGGCACTGCTACTTTATTTAAAATTTGTGATTTTAAGATGACCAGTTATAATACTCTTCTGCACAGGGTCATTTACTAGAAATCCTAAATCTTTCTTTCCTCTTCCTCTACGACAATTGTTTCATAAGCATTGCAATACAAATTCAAGGTTTCATAAGCAACATTTCCCTAACTGATACTAGTACAATTTAATATAACCATTAGCTCTCTGTTTGCCAGGCTTAGCGTAATAATACAACATGGCTGATGTGTGTTACACAGCCAATTAAACAAAGTTTAACTTACTTCAGCTTAGGGAAAAATACTTGCTCTTACTTTACCGGTTAGAGCACCCTAAGCCATCCAAAGCAGCTATTTATCCCGAAAAAATGATTTGCTTTTCTTTTTGCCCCTTTCGCTGTTGACCACTTTTACACATTTAAATGTAATATGTTATGAGAATAAACTTAGCTACATAAAACGTTTGGCTCATTTATCTGGCATCCAGTCATGCATGTAAGGAATAGAAGTATGAATAAATTTAGAGTCTCCACGCTAGCTGTTTTATTTTTAAATTACACCTACCTCAAATTAAACTTCAGAAATCATGTTAGTAATGTAAAATTCTGCCTTTAATTAGTTATTGCTTATTTCTACCTGGTAAGAACTAGAAAGTAACCATTTAAATTTTGAGTAATACATCACACTGTCCTTATTTGGTGCTAAGGAAGGGCAGCTGGCAACGCAGACACAGCTATTTAGTCACCCAACTCAAGTCTTTTGTAAGCAATCTTTCTAGAGTTAAGAAATTTATGTATGTCTTTCATTTCCTTTAAGAACCTGACATCAAAGAATGACAGATAAGAGTTGTACAGGCACTAAATCCAAAATGAGAGGCAACTAGAAAAATAAATGAGTTGAAGCTAGAGTAAGTGTGAGACATGGAAGATCAATTAGAATTTAAAGTATGTAGCCAGTTTTTATTCATCTTACATTTCCCCCACTTGTTTACCTCTTTTACTCTATCAAGGCAGTAACTGAAGGAAATAATAAGAACAAAATTATTTTGGTTTCAAGTATTATATATAGTGGCAAATAATTTCAGATTAAAATCCAAATTTTCTATCAGTATCTAAATACCAATACTATTAAATTTTTGTAGCAGTTTTCTCTAAGGAGCTCAAGAAAAGTAAAATGCTAAACAAAAAAATCTCAATGTGATCAATATTTTCCTTCACTAGAATTCTCATATTGCTTTTATCCAAAGTATGTTTCCCTTTTTACTAAAGTATTAAATAATTGATCATGCCCTTATTAGCATATTTTCAAAGGAAAAAACTGCAGGCTTAATTAAGAAATGGTTTAATTCAGAATCTTCCATAAATGTCTAAGGAGAAAAATAGTGCCAAGAGACATGAGATACTGAAAACCAGTGGCTATAAGTTGTCACACAACAGCAATCGTATGCTGCTATAGAGATCAGAAAAGTACCCTGAACTACTTCATAGTGAGTTTTCTTTTTATAACTTATCACAGAAAATACACTTGTAAATAAAAATCTCAGACCTGCTACTTTTAGACAATGGAATTCTTCAGCTTGGGGCAGGGATAGAGTGTCAGGAAGAGGACAAAATAGTCCTGGGATATAAAATATCTTTACTGAACAATGTTAAATTAAGCTGCACTAGACTCCCAGATGCATGGAACATTCTAACCAGATAGAGATTTGGGTGGGAGTAAGAGGATGAAACATGTACTATAATTTTTACAGCAAAGAGCTACATAGTTTTCATTTTTGAAATTAGTAAAATAAGATGAACATTTAAAACATGTACTTTTCTAAAAAGTCATAATTAACATATGAATAATTCTTTTGAGAGTATAATAAGCCTCATTCAAGTATAAAAAAGTTTTGTTTCCTTTCTTCACTGACACATTTTACCTATAATGTAAATCTTTCACTAAAATAATTTATTACTATTAAAATGAAATTCACCATTCTTTTTTTAATCCTCACTTTAAGTGAGAAAAGAAAGGACATTAGAGGCTGAAACAGACCTAAATATTCATCTTGAAGAAGGTAATATTCTGCTAAAATCATGCTACCTGAATTGAACATTTAGGAATTCACACATTGTTTGATACAACTGAATTCTGAAAATTTGAACTTTATGTGTCTATTTTTTTTTAAACAGTAAGATTTATAGTTGTAACTTACTCAATTTAATGTCAAACAATTTCTGTTGGCATGATGAAAAAAGTCAGTAGACCCAGAAATGATAATCATACTAATTCTTGGTAGGCCATTGATAGTACATTGAAGATGAATTCACTTTTAATATAATTAACATACTGCTGCAATGTATTTGAATAGACTGAGCATCAGAAATGATTTGCCAAAGTTATTACTGTTTGCAATTGGAAATGACTTGTTCATTTTACTGTATCACCTAATCTTCACATAAAATCAGAATTTTTATGGTTTTCTTCAACAGTATGTGTCACTTGTATTCAACAGTTTTGCCTCTTCCTCAGAATTATTAATATTTAGATGGAGATTTGCTTTCAGTCATTTTTTACAACAGTATTTGGCATAAATGGTCAGAAGGGAGAGCTGATTATGTTCAACTCTACTCAGGATCCTAGAAGTTTTCCTGTGAGAAACAGTCTTCACTCTGTAAATGGACATCTGAGCTTCCCACTCCTGGAACTCTGGAATTCCCTGTTCTTCCTACTCATACTCAACCTTGGTCACATTACAAAACCTCGTGTCATGCTCTGTTTAAAGAATACTTGGATTTAAAAAAAAAAAAAAATCAACCTTGATAGTGATTGAAAATGTTAAACTACAACTGACTGGATGCTGAAGAGCAATCTGAAGTTAGTGGGAGAGGGCCGCATCTTTTCCATAGCTATGCTTTCTAATAAATTTCCTCGCAAATTAAGTTTGAAAAGAAGCATGTCATAAGGCAGCAAGTGTTTTTCTTCAGAAGAAAAAAAAGTGTTGCAGCTTTCTTTAAAAACTCTGGTGTGTTAAGTTCAGACTGAAAGTTAACAGGAATGTTAAAAACTGACGCTGAGTACAAGTGACATTCTAAAACGGCACCAGCACTGAGCCACTGAAATTCCTGAATTCTGCCTTGCTTAATCTCACACATTACTGCTTCTCACTTGTCTTACTTCTCTGAAGGTAATGTCACATTTAGAAGATACTAAGTGACCATGAGTATCTTGTTTAGGGATGTTTAGCCTTCAGAGAAATGTCAGACTTTGAAAAAAGCAGTCAGCCGCTCTTAATCCTTGTAACAAAATCGAGGCAGTCAAAGCCACGGTCGACGATGCCCGGGCAGGGAGGGAGGTGAGTTTTCTTTCGGCTTTTCTCCTTTTCGGGATATTGAAGGTGTGGGAAGGCAGGCGGGCACAAGAGGCTTCGGTGCAACCCAGCGATAGCAACAATGTTGAGTTGATCCGATCCCCTGGGGACTTGAAAATGGCATCATTACTGGAGGCAAAACAATCTCCACGGGTTTGAGGGCAACCATTTTATCTTCTGGTCGAGGTCGTACGAAGTTTGTTTGCCGCTCACATGGTCTGGACAGAGATGAGTTCTTCATAAATGTGGGCACTAAAGCATTGGTGGTAGGCTTGATGGCTTTTCTGATCTGTGAGGAAGCACCCACTTGAGTTGTGTTTTTCTGTGGAAGAGGTGTTTTCGTTGTTACTGTCTCTGATTGATTAGCATTTGCTTTAGCTTCTCGATTCAGGAACTCAGCAATTCTCATTTGGATGCAGTTATCATTAGTGGAAGCTTTTGGCAATGATGTTTTTGATTTTTTCTTCTTCTTCTCGCGTTTTGATGATTTACCCAACTCAATCCCATCCAGGAGACCCTTTGCTGCAGCACGGGCCAAAACATCTTTCACAGACACTGTCTCAGATGGGTCCCGCTACAATTAAAGAAGCAATTAATAAATGTGGAAGTTAACTATTATTATGTATATTATAAATATCAATGTTTCATAAAAATAACAGTATTTTTGTTATACTAAAATAAACAGTTTTTAGAACTTAGTCCCTAATATATCTCACAAGCCTCAGCAAATGACATTTTTTTGTACTTAACTGTAAGTCTCATAGGAAAAAAATAAAATACATAGCTTACTTCTTATGTGTGAGGTAAAATGCACTAGATGTTAACAAAATGCTTAGAGAGGTGGAGAAGGGCAAGCAATGGAGATATATAAAGATAACTGATTATTTGCCATACAATAATATCATTTTTCCTATCCTTTAGCTATTTATGAAATATGCACACCATTAAAAGGTGGCTAAAAAGTTCCTGGGTTTCTTTTATGAGGCTTTGTTGTTTCTTAATTCCAAGTATTACATGGATTGGGATTTTTTTTTTTTCCTTACCTCCCTTGTTAGAATAGAAAGAAAACAACCATTGGTAATTTCAGATGGTTCCATCCTGAAAAATTTATCAGTAGACAAATGTATTTCCTTTAAGGAGCACAGCGGAAGAACAGGAGGACTGAGCCTACAGTAGATATGAATAAACACTGTCATAGTTAGAATAGCTCATTTGCCAATGGAGAAAGAGTAAGTTGCAACTAAATTTTCATCTATTATGTTTTTCCAATCATTTAAACAAAAATTCCAAGTAACAGTAAAAGCTGTCCTTCTCAAAATACTACTATAAATTAAAAGCTCTAATAATTCATATTTATTCATAATTTATTGCACTTCCCAAATCATCTTTAAACAACTCTGCCAAGTATAACAACCTTTCAACAAATTAAAATCTTCCCTTCTCCAAGTCACTAACATGTTAACAAAAGGCTTCCATTATCAAAACAGATAAATATATACGGTAATCGTAAAGGTATAATCCAAAAATTCCTGTACTTCCACACATTGTCAAAATACAAAAGATATGATTTCCTTCTTTTTGTTACTTTTTACACAATTACAATAGAAAAATATGGCCTATCATTTTCACTACATTACTCTTCCCAATCACTTTTTGAGTATTAATGGATGAGCTATGTATTGTTCAAGGAAGTAGATAACAAAGAAAATATTTTGTCAGAAATATAAAAATCTTTAATCATTAATAAGTTTAAAGTAAAATTTTGGTTTTTATATTTAACATTTAATTTTTCATTTAATAATAAAGTAGTTCATGAATATAATTCTAATTCTTATATTTCTATGCTTTTAGAATTACAATATAATAAGGCAAAGCAATGAAACACTATTCCACATGAATTAGAATGTTAGGTTATTATCAAAAACCAGTACTGGTGAGGATGTGGAGAAATTGGAACCCTCATCCATTGTTGTGGGGATCTAAAATGGTGCAGCTGCTGTGGAAAATAATTTGATGGTTCCTCAAAAAGTTAAACACAGAATTACCATATGACACAGCAATTCAATTCCTAGTTATGTACCCAAAAGACTTGAAAGCAGGGGTGCAAAGAGATATTGTACACTAATGTTCACTGCAGCATTATTCACAATAGCCAACAGGTGGAAACAATTCAAGTGTCCATTAACAGATGAATGGATAAACAAAATGTGGTAAATCCATACAATGGAATATTATTCAGCCATAAAGAGAAATGAAGTTCTAATACATGCTACGACATGGATGAACTTTGAAAACATTCTGCTGAGTGAATTAAGTCAGACAAAAAGGGACAAATATATGATCCCACTTACATGAAATATCAAGACTAGGCCAACCCATACAGACCAATGTTTATTAGTGGTTACCAGGGGTGGTAGGGTTTAAAGCCAGGAAAGATGTATGTCAGGGTTGTATCCTTTCACCATACTTATTCAACCTGTATGCTGAGCAAATAATCCGAGAAGCTGGACTATATGAAGAAGAACAGGTCATCAAGATTGGAAGATTTGTTAACAACCTGTGATACACTACCTTGCTTGCTGAAAGTGAAGAGGACTCGAAGCACTTACTCGTGATCAAAGACACAGCCTTCAGTATGGATTACACCTCAAAATCAAGAAAACAAAAATCCTCACAACTTGACAAATAAGCAACATCATGATAAACGGAGAAAAGACAATGCCAAGGATTTCACTTTACTTGGATCCACAAGCAACATTCATGGAAGCAGCAGTCAGGAAATCAAATGACACGCTGCATTGGGCAAATCTGCTGCAAAGATCTCTCTAAAATGTTAAAAAGCAAAGATGTCTCTTTAAGGACTAAGGTACGCTGGATTCAAGCTATGGTGTTTTCAGTCACCTCATATGCATGTGAAAGCTGGACAATAAATAAGGAAGAACAAAGAAGAATGGATGCCTTTGAATCGATGCCTTTGAATATATCATGGACTGCCAGAAGAATGAACAAAATCTGTCTTGGAAGAAGTACAGTCAGAATGCTCATTAGAAGCAAGGATGGCGAGGCTTTATCTCACATAGTTTGGACATGTTATCAGGAGGGATCAGTCCCTGGAAAAGGACATCATGCTTGGTAGAGTAGAGGGTCAGCGAAAAAGAGGAAGACCCTCGACGAGATGGATTGACACAGTGGCTGCAACAATGAGCTCAAGCATGGCAACGACTGCGAGAATGGCGAAGGACCAGGTGGTGTTTTATTCTGTTGTACAAAGGGTCGCTATGAGTCGGAACCCACTTGACGGCACCTAACAACAACAACCAGGGTGATGGGAGGGGAAGAGAGGGAGTAATTGTTTAAGGGGCACTGAGTTTCTGTTAAGGGTGATGAAAAATTTGGAAACAGACAGTGGTGATAGCTGCCCAATATGGTGAATGTAATTAATGTCACTGAATTGCACACATAAAAATGGTTAAAATGGCAAATGATTTGTTATATATATTTTAACTCAATTAAAAAAAAAAAAAACTCCAGAGAAGGCCCTGAATTTAGACATATTCTTCTATGCCCTCATTATGGTAGAAGCTACCTGACTTATTCATGGTAATAAAGTTTGGCTATGTTTTGCAAGTTAAAGAAAAAAAAGCTAGAAAAAATATTTTATACTTACTTACTGATTTATTATTTGCCTACTATGTGCAAAGCACAGAAATAAAACATAGTTAATTCTCTTAGTTTACAGTTTCATTGGAGAAACTAATAGACTTACAATAATATAAAAAACACCAAATAAGAATGATGAAGCAAGCAGAAAAAAAATTACAATTAATTCTGCCCATGGAGACACCAAATATGAAAATTTCACAGAGGAATGGCATTGGTGCTATGTCTTGAAGAATAAGTAGATTTCCAATAAGGTAAAGAAGGTGATTCTAGACAAGCATGAACAAAAGCACAAGGGTCACTGAAATACATGTTCAGGGTATAGCATGTATATTTCCAGATGGCTGGGGCATCAGGCAAGTAAGGGGATACAGAGGTTACTTAGGATGGGGGCAGACATACATGACCCCCGAATGACATTCCAAGAGTCTGGCACATGGTGGTGTTTAATAATGTTTATGCTGAACAAAGCTGGGTGGCGCAAAGAGTTAAGCACTCCACTACTAGCCAAAAGGTTAGCCATTTGAACCCACCTAGAGGCACCTTGGAAGACAAGGCCTGGTGATCTACTTCCAAAAGCTTACAGCCTTGAAAACCCTATGGAGCAGTTCTATGCTATACATGTAGGGTCACCAAGAGTCAGAATCGACTCAACAGCCACTAACAACAAGCTGAAATGTTAATAGCTGTGTAGGTCCTAAAAGCAAGAGAGTTAGTGTCTCCTCTCTCCAAGCCTTGTAACCAGCTAACTGAATTTCTGAGATCTATTTATATATGCTTGCTGTCTACATAAATGAAAATCATAAAAAAATTCACTTACATATTAGGGAAAGGATACTCTAAAAATAATTATTGCTTATCAATTTGGTTTGTATTTATATTGTAAATACGAAGGTTGGGATTTTTGTTGGTTTTAATCCAAAATATTCCTAGCATCTAGAAGAGTGCCTGCTACATAGTAGGTACTCAATAAATACGTTTAGTAAGTTTATTACATATGTTAGCTACATATATGCTGTTTCTTTAAAAACAGCAATAACCAAAACCCAAACCAAACCCATTGTTATTGAGTTGATTTCGATTCATGGCGACCCTACATGTGCGGAGTAGAACTGTTCATAGGGTTTTCTTGGCTGTAATCTTTACAGAGAGCCCTCGTAGTGCAGTGGTTAAGTGCTTAGCTGCTAACTGAAAAATCGGTGGTTGAAACCCACCAGGCGCTCCACAGGAGAAAGATGTAGCAGTTTGCTTCTGTAAAGATTTACAGCCTTGGAAACCCTACAGAGAAGTTCTACTCCATCCTACAGGGTCACAGTGAGTTGGAATCAACTCAATGGCCATGGGAAATCTTTACATAAATTACCCCTACATAAAATTATTTCAAATAAATTTTATGCTCATGGCCCATTTCACTGAACAGTTACATAAGAACTGAATTCTAGTAAAACCAAATGCACACTGTTGTGAAGTAACTTTGATTCCTGATCAAGGGTGCTAACAGAAGGAGGGAGCCAACACGATTACCATTTGGGGTCTCAAACTTTGCTTATTCATTGCTTGGGCCAAGGTTAAACGTGTATTTATTGAAAGAAAATTCAAAAGGCTGTAGATAGGCATGACACATCCAAATGGGAGGTGTACCATCCTCTTGGAATTTATTTTCAAGATGTGTCAAAAAACCTGCAGGGGCTTACAAAACCTGGCTGACCAACACACCATGAGAAAAGTCTTTCAAAGAGAACAGGAAATACAGCCTTAAGAATCCCCACCCCCCAAATACCAAACAGAATGAACAAAAGCAAAGAACTTTTTTTAATCCATGTATCTGTATTTATTGGTGTTTTTATTTCTATGAGACAGATTCCTAAGTGTGGAATTTCTAGGTCAAAATGTGTATTTTTTTTCTTTTCTTTGTTTTATTGTGGTAAATATATATGTGACAAAACATTTGCTATTTCAATCTTCTTCACCTGTACAATTTAGTGATATTAATTGTGTTCATCAGGAATGCAGCCATCACCATTATCTGTTTCCAGATTTTTCCATCATCCTTAACAGATGCTCAGTGACCCCTAAGCAATGATTCTCTCTTCCCCACTCCTTCCCTCCCACCCCTGGTAATCACTAATAAACTTATGTCTGTATCTAAAACCAAAAAAAAAACTCCATTGCCGTCGAGTCAATCCTGACTCATGGTGACCCCCTGTGCTTCAGAGTAGAACTGTGCTCTATAGGGTTTTCAATGGCTGTAATCTTACAAAAGTAGATCACTGGGCTTTCTTCCATAGCGCTGCTGTGTGGATTCAAACGGCCAACATTTCAGTTGGTAGCCAAGAGCAAACCATCTGTACCACCGAGGAACCTTTAGGTCTATATACACTTGTCTATTCTAGGTATTTCCTGTAAGTGAAATCATACCACATTCGTCCTTTTGTGACTGATTTATTTCAGTCAGCACGATATTTTCAAGGTTCATCCCATGTTATAGCATGTATGAGGATTTGATT